TTATTTACTTTTTTTTCTTTTATTATCCGCCACACAAATGGATTGCATAGGTGAGAGCCCACAATCTCAATAAAAGGAATGATGCAATGAAGGAACTACACGTGGGAAACGCATATTAGGGCAAACAATATCCAAGAAGGGAAATGTTTTTTGTATAATTTTTTTATTTTTTATTTTTATAAATTATTGTGTCATTAAAATGATTGATTCTTTTAATTTATGTGAAATTTGTAATATTAAATACAGTGACTCATTTAATGATATGTAAAAGTTGTATAAAAAAAAATTATGTAAAAAAAGTAACACCACCCATCTAGGAATGAAACTATCTTTTAAATCGTCCGTAATTTTCTTAGCTTGAAGGTCAGTATATATAATTTGATCAGCTATAACTTGGGGGAAGGCAAGGGATGAGTAGAAAGAGGGTATGTGTAACTGAAGATTTTATTTGGTGAATGATGGTGGCTGCTTATTTAAATGGATTTATTTATTCACTGTACTAAGGGCACAATATAAAAAATAATAATTATATAATTATTATAATATTTTTATTTTAAAAATAATAAAATTAATTTTTGTTTTAATTGTAAATGTTATGTGTTAGTTTTTTATTGATTTATTCTGACATTAAGATAAGAATTTAATTTTAAATTTGAAATATCACATTTAAAAAAATGATAATTATTATCTATTAATTAAATTTTATCCTATTTCTTTACGACACAAAATAGATAAATCCTATTTAAATATATCCCCATCATTAAATTCATGTGTGTTTTATCTAATCCTCCTTGCTTTAATGAATGCTCCCTGCTTTAACGGGGACAATATGATATTTATAGTCTTGTAGTGATTAAAATCACTCATCATTGCAAAAGTAAAATAAAAGTAGACAGAAAAATGTCCAATATAGTCCCAACATTATAATGAAATCAATGCAAATTAATCTTTTTTTAGGGAGAAGAGTCTAGACTAGAGCATGAGATTCAAATTGATGGTTTTAGGTTCAATTATAGTAATTAACTGAATAGTGGGAAGAACTAAGGAACCTAGGTATATGATGTAGATTATAAGGAATTTATCTACATATGATGAAATTTAAGAGATGACCCCCACTTCAAGTTATACATAAGAAGCTATTAGATTTTTTTTTTTCAAATTGATTTTTCGAAGAGTAGAATATAAATATAGTATACAAATTGTATATAGTACATATATTTTAACTTAGGTATAGTATATAAATCAAAGAAACATGTAGAAAAAACTCGTTAAATACGAAAATTGAACCCATAACCAAAGTTTTTGGAGGATTGCTTCATTGCTTGATAATTGAAAGGGAAGAAAAATAAATAAAGTACCATAACTTTTGCAAATTGTTGCGCATGGTTTGGGACTATGGGGTAAAAAATGTGAAAATAAAAATATTAATTTTGAATTTTTTTATTTAAAAATGTAAATTTTGTTAATTTCAAAGTGAGAATATCAAATTTTAATTTCTTTTTATTTAAAAAAATAAATTTTAACATTTTTTTATTTAAACATGACAACTTTTAATATTTTAATTAAAAAATTTATTTGTCACATTAATATTACTATCAAATTAATATTTAAATATAAAAAATTAATATTTTTAAATAAAAATAAAATAAAATTTGATCTATTTAAATAAAAAATTAAAAATTGATATTATTATTAAAAAATTAATAAAATTAATATTATAAAAAAATTAACATGTTTATTTAATAATTTTCTTGAGGCCGCTGGGTGGATGTGTAAGCGTAACTGCATAAGACCTTTGGGCCTGAACGGGCTGTCCAATCATTCACCATTATCCAAAAAAAAATCTTCAGCAATCCTTACTGCAACTTAATATGTTGGACGGAGCCGCCCGGCCCAATACAGATCGCAGTCGTCATGCGATGCGCAGAGAATGCACGTGCGATCACGGAAGTTGGAACTAGGAAAGATAGAAATGGAAGGAAGGCACAGGAAAAGGGAGACGGAAATGGAGGACGAGCCTGTAAATAAATACATGGAGAGCAGATAATAATGAGATAATTCTAGGAATTACGCAAAAATCTCTCTCCATTCATTCTCTCTAAATGATTGTAGATGTTTCTTCGCAGCTTTTTTTGAAGAGAAGGAGACTCACCAGCATTGATCCCATGGAGGCGGAATCGGCTAAGGTCTCTCTTTCCAACTCTCTTTACTTTTTTTGGAAGTCCCCTTACTGCTTTAATGGATTTCTTGGGTTCAATTTCGTGCTTCTGATGATGGGTCTGGGTTTTTCCTAGATTCTGGTTTTGTGTCTTGGGCACTTTTCTATTGCAATTATGAATCAACTAAGCTATGTACTCTACTTCCTTATTTCTTTATCCTATTCAAAGTTACTTTATAGCTTTGATGGATTTCTTGGCCTCAATTTCTTACCTTTGATGATGGGTTCATCTGGGTTTCGTGCTTTGATTGTTGGCTTCCTCTTTCGTGCATTGCGCCTTGGAGTTTGTTCTTAATAACAGTGATAGATTAGTCCATTATCAATTTTATGTCGATTCATATTCCAGTTGGGTTACGGTCTTGAAGTAGGATTTGGAGAATCAAATGCAAAAGGGGATGTCTTTACTTATGAAAATTTTTTGTTCTTATATTTTCACTCATAAAAGGGCATACAAGTTGCCTTTTATGATGTCTTGGCCATTTGAGGCTTGAGCACCACAGATAAACTCCATCAATTAATCAAGTCAAGAAATCTGAGCTAAGCAATAGGATAAATGTCATATACGACCCTTTATAATCTTTGCATAGCTGAGTCGAACACAGATTTTCCATTCTTCCTTCCATCTGATGATTTTGATAATTCACATTTCACACTAGACCCCTACAGGCTACAGCTTTGATTATGCTCTTCTATGCTTGTATATTAAATTTCTCCAAATGTTTTCAGCCCAAGCTTGCTGCTATGAAAGAGAATTTTGGACGAGAAATTCGTGTCTTTGAAACTACAGGACTTTCTCAGACATCAGATGTAGCATCCAGTTCCACTACTGGTATGACCTGCTAAAAGTCGTACAAAGACTTTAGACATATTTGCCCAATACAATTGTCATCATTTTGTTTTTAGGATACATAGGTGAGTTAGGCTTCTCTTATTATATATATATTTTTTAGCAGAGGAGCCGGATGAATTTTATGAGTTCACTGCAGAAGACTATTATCGACTTTTGTCAACTAAAAAGGAAGGTACTAACACTCACGACCATTTTCTATTAGCAACTTTGATAAAGAAAAAGAAAAGGGTGTGCTTTCAGCTGGATTCAGATTTTTGAAAATTAATGTCCGCATGCCTTAATGTGGCTTTAATTAACAGATAAGTTTTTGAAGACAAGAAAAATCCGAGAAGCAGAAGAAGCAGCTCGCAGGTCAAGAATCACTAAGGTTCTTGCTGGTGCCCTCTAAACCTTTTGCTTACCTATGTGTTTTGAGTGCTTAGATTTTGATCATTAAGAATTTTGTGCTTTTTTTTTTTTTTATCTGAATCTTAAATTAGCTTGGTGAGGACTCTGGTTCAACCTATTTGTTAAGAGTGTATTTTAATATGCAGGCTATTATTAGGGTTCGCTTTCCTGATAATCACACATTGGAGGTCACATTTCAACCATCAGAGACCATTAAGAGCTTGGTTGACCTTCTCATGAAAGTAGTCGCTCAACCAGATTTACCTTTTTACCTATGTGAGCCTACTGTATTATAATACTAATGCTACAGTTATCTAATGCACATCTGTGGGTATCCATAACTAGCATTTGATAATGTTTCAGACACTACTCCTCCTAAGAAACAAATAAAAGATATGTCAGAGGATTTTTACTCTGCTGGTTTTGTTCCCGGTGCAATTGTGTATTTTTCATATGATCTGCCAAAAGGTTAGTGCATACCTTAGAGTGCAAGTTACAATTCTTCCTGAGTCTTATATTGCAGTGGCTTATGTCCTTTACAGTCATTTTATATCTAGTACTTGAATGAGGTTACCTATCAACTCTTTCTAAACATGTCTGCTTTGGTCTGCCTCATAATTCCATTTTGGACTCTCTTGCTTCATGTAGTAACGTTGCAGCAGCATTGGCTGATATGTGATATGACTAATGACATTTTGAAATAATGTTTACTGGTGAGTTTAGGTAATGGTTCTACTGCAGCTGCCAATTCAGGACCTTTCCTTAAAGAAGAGGTGATGTGCTTGAAAGGTTTAGAAGTCATGGATGAGCAGATAGAGCATGCTGAGTCTGCACCAGAGCCCCCAGCACCCAGTCCAGGTCCCTCCCCCATTGCTCAGGAGTCCAAGCCTGCAGATAAAAAACCAGCCAAGCCAAAGTGGTTTAAAATGTGATATGACCGACACTCAAAAGCATGGCCTGTATTCTATTTTAGACTAGTTGCTCCTTTTTTTATTTTTCACCACAATCTTCATCCTGATTCTGACTTTTATTTAGCCCTTATCTGGCATCTAGATTCAACGCATGAACTTAACTATCTTGTATCTCATAAAAAACTCGTTTCAGTACCAGGTGGAAGGATGAAAGTAGATTTAAGTTGTAAGGGGTTTAGTGGATGATAACTCCATCTGTATGGAAATGAAAACCTGTTTGTTGATCATGTCTACTACTTACCAAGGAGTAAGGTGTGAATATTATTGTTGCCTATCAATCCTCATTATTTTTAGTAAGATTTGTGATTTCTACCTTTACTGTACTTTTTCTAAATTTTTTGGTGCTTGGTAATCGACTCCATGTGTCATTTTGTGACTCTGATTGGGAAAGCACACGTCAACAAATTAGAAATGTTGGCTTCCAGCTGAATTATAGTCAGAAATATGTGCTCAACCACCACTCCCTCCAATGATCCATGTCTTATACGCAATATTTTAACTTTATTTTTTAGTAAATAATAAAAAATTATTGTTGTAAGCCGATCATTTTGTTTGGTCCATTCCATTGGATGTCAAGGTCCATTGACCCAAGTCTCCAACCATCACAGGGAGGATGGTGAAAAATCTATTCTTTCCGTCCCAGGAGTAAACTCGGTTGCAGTCTCAGGAGACGGTCCCGTGAAAATGACAAAAATAAAATAAATTAACAATAAAAATATATAATTATAATATTACTTAACATTATAAATTTGTATTGTAATATGAATATAATATATTATCGGATTGATAACAACACGACACTATTTTAATTAAAAAGGTTTCACTTATTTTTTTATTATTAAGTCGATACTTATTTGAGGTTCTTGTTTTGCAATCCATTCCATAGTGGATTGCAAGATCAAGACCATCTAAAAAGAAAGGGAGGTGGATTCAACGTCAAGAGTTTATCTCCTTTGATGGTTCTGATTTTGTAGTTCATATTACACGTAAAATTGTAAGATAGTTTTTGTTATTTATTTTCTCAATATATTATTATATAATTAAAATTTTTATTAAATATCTACTTTGTAATCTATATGCATATACTAATTTAATAATGATAATATTATAAATTTATAATATCATATAATATTATAATTACAATAATATTAATTTACCCTAATGAGTGGCTCAATAATTAGAAACTTGAAACTCAAGTTATAAATGTCAATTTCGAGTTTTGAGTTGAGTGATGAGAAATTTATGAATAAAAGAAGATTATTCTCTCTTGTATAATTTATAATTAAATATAAAAAACAATGTTAATTTGATAATATACCAATGTCTTTTAATAACATATTGTAATAATAAATTTACTATCAGTATAAGATTTTTTTTTATTTTGGTAAAAAATCAGGATAAGATTGGCAAAATAAAAATAAAATTATTGATATTATTGGATGTTCGTGGACCCACAAAAATCTTTACTATACTAAAAAAAAAAATTCCACTAAAATACAGGGCACCTGGCGGCCGGAATTGAAAATCAGATGGTGGCGGCACCATCCATTTTAAGCAGAATTAGCAAATCAAAATTCAACTTTATGCCAAAAGTTGAACTTACGAGGCGTTGCCGCGAATCCGATACCGATACCATTGGAAATTGTATATCAATCTTTTCCATTCAGTAACAATTATTTGCTGAATGGAAGGAACTTATTCTTATATAATTTTTTTTTTATATTGGTTATGTAAAATATAATTTTTTTATTTTTTAATTCATTCTACTCTTGCGTTATATGATTTAAATTTAAAATTTTTTATTTTTAATAAAAAAATTATAATTAAATT